CATCATATGAATGTTCTCTTGGCTTCTGTCTCTGATTTCACCTCTTTCTGTCAATCAAGCGTCTACATTGCTCTTAAGAAAATGTGAACTGCATGAGGACACCTTACCCATAACTTCACTTTTTATGGTTGTGTCTACCCATGCACACTGACTTGCAGGGGGGAAGGGTTAAAAGGCAAACTTCAGTGGAATGTCTATTGTTGATATTTCAAATCATTTATTGCTTTGCCATTTCAAGTCCAACTTGTATAGCTGCCCACATCTTCTCGTTTGGCAGAAAGTTCTGTTGATATAGGAATAGTTCACAGCAGATAACAAAGTTGACTTCCTCTTTGATTCTAAGTTTGAGGTAAGTGTAAGATAGAAGAGACCAGAAATAGGTTTGAGGAACTGAAAAGCATGTTTGTATTTCTGTCCCCAATCCCCAGACTTAGTAAATGACCTCAAAGCTAGAGGAGAGGAGATTTTAGAGAAAGAAAAAAAGGAAATGAGAAGCAATGTAATGATCGCACTCTCTGAACTCCACCTATATACCTGTCTCCACCCTATAAAATCTTCCTTAAGTCTTAGGATCTTAGAGAGGAAAGTCCCAGGTACGATCTAGAACAACAGCAAGACGGAGAGAAAAGCCCTGCTCCATGCCAGCTTAGCAAAATGGGAGGTGGTACATATGAAAAAAAGTGAACCAGATAAAACACCCTCTCCTCAGCTTTTCCCATGGATCTGGAATCCAATTTTTCCTGGGGATCCAGCATGGGGACACAGAAGTTGTCTAAGAGTAGTAGCTGGAAAGCCTCCCAGGAGGTTGCCCGTTGGTCTGAGAAGGTCTTCACTGAAAGAATGCTGCATGCACTTCTAGTCATGGTCCAGACAGAGTGTGGAACTGAATCCAGAGGACTGGCAGCACCAGAAGGCAAAGAAGAGCCTGTGGCCAAGAGCTCTGAGCCCTGCTCAAGGTCACATATACCACTTGAACCAAGAGGGCAGGCAAGTTATATCAGTAGTAGACACTAGCAGAGACAGGACCTTAGAGCCTTAGAGTAGCTACGTATATTCTACCAAGGCCACAATGCTCCCCAAAGGCTTCCCTAGGACTCAGAAACTGCCCTGGGAAGAAGGATGAAGGAAGACAGAACATTCAGCTCACTAAAATTTAAGCTGGTAAGTGACTTGATTACAAGTCAGAATTGATTGAGATGAGAATCACTGCTGGACTGAGAAATCTCAAAAGTACTTGTTTTAAGTCATCTGCCATTAGAAAGTCCACAGAAACAACTCTCAGTTATACGAATAAAGCGATTGAACATGTTTGCACTGTTTAATTCATACCTGTGTGGGTCAGCCTGGTTGTGTCTCAAGACAGGAGGGGTTGGGGGGTGTGCATGGGAGGGTACAGAAGAGCTGGTAAGTCTGACTGTATTGGAGTATATATCCTATATGGGTCAGTCTGGTGATAGGATCAAGAATAGGCTACCTGGACACAGGCAGCTGTGGTTTGAATCCCAGCTCTATCAATTACCAGTTTTGTGTTTTAGGGCAAATTCTTCAATCTGCTGAATCTGACTTTCCTCATCTGTAGAAATATGATAATATTCAACTCCATATGGTTGTGAGGTTTTGAGATAATATACATTAAATATTTGGCACATAGTGCCTAGAATATAATGACAATGTATCATATCCTTGACCTCCAGTGCTCTTCCCTCCTCCCCCCCCACCAGCTCCTTCTACCTGCCTGTATGCAGGAAAGAAGTCTCTGAGTGGGTAGAACTGTATCTTATTCACTTCTGTTTTCATAGTGTCTGGCACGTAGTAGGTTCCCAATAAATAGTTGTTGAGTGAATAAGTTGGGGTGGAACTCTAGGAGGACAGCTGGGAGTATTAAAGCAGGTTCTACATGTGAGGTAAGTCCCAGATGTAAGGATAAAGCTTAGTGGAGTGAACAGAAGAGTAGGTAGTTACAAATGCTAGGCTTCAGGCAAGCAGGTTTTGATCAGGGTGAGATAAACAGAACACAATTACACATACACCTATTTACAATAGAGAAGGAACAGAAATCTATGGTCTGTATACACAAAAAACCCTGCGCTATAAAGGAATACCTTTATAGACCACTGGTTGTGTTTTCCAACAGTGTGGTATACATTTGTGGGGAAGTGCCCATGTGTATGTTAGTGTGTATTTCTGAATGTGTATAAAATACTTGGCCTAGCTTTTTCAATCTTACCTGAGTTCTTTGATCAACCTTTCTATCATCTATCTTATGCAAACTGAGTTTTTTCTGTATTAAAAATGTAAATAGAATTTAACTACATCACAAGGTCAGTATTAATGCTTTATGATTCTCTAAGAGCTTGTGAAGATAAAGAAAGTGTTAAACGATTTGAATTTGAAATTTCAAGATCACTGTAGGTTTTTAGAATACAATAAACCCTTAGACCTAGCTCGTTTATAAAATGAGTAACAGACTTGACCTTGGAATAAGAGCAAACTCTTAAAGATAATGGGATTAGGACATAGTATGCCTTTCCTCTTTTTTTTCTTTTCTATTTTTTTAAAATAGGAAACTTTTAAAATCTCATGTTTATAGTTTTTATTATTTTTATCATAACTGCTTAGCATGATGGCTAATGGTTTTCTGAAGGAAGAATTTTGTATTTCTAATTTTTGAAGAGATTTACTGTCTTCAACATGGTAAATGATGCTGTTTAATTCTGTTTTCCTTGAAACTCTTCATTTGATTTCATAGTTTTAGGTATAAAAGGAATGTCCTACATACAAAATTATCTTCCTTAATATTATGACATTCTCATCAAGCTGTTCATAAGCAGATTTAACAGAGAAAAATTAGATGTTAGACCAACAAATGACTATTAGGTACTTATTTCTGTGCAGAATGATTTACTAAATCACATATGCTCTGAATTAAAATGTATATACACACCATTCCCGTGATTGGTGTGATCATGTTTTTCACTTCTGAGGCAAGTTAATTTTCTATCAATTTGTGTTACATATTTGCAAAAAAAAAATCACAAAATGTTCTTATTAGGATTTTAAGCTTTGAAACTATGGCTTCTTTTTCTTTCTAATAAACAACATGAAATTAGATTTGTGAGTGGACTATTGCTTTTCATTTTTAAGAACAAAATGACCGATTTGTTACTATGACTACCTAATGTCATAGGTAGGTTGTGACTATCTAGGTCAGTGGCATGGGTGGTAAGAAGAATTTGCCAAGACAGTTTTAGGTTAGGAAAGGAAAACTTATTAGAGAAGATATGAAAATACATTGTAAGGGTGCAACAAACATGTCAGCAAGAAAGGAGCTGACTGCAAGGAGAAAAAGGCTTGCTGGGGATTTTATAGAATGGTGCTATGCTGTGTGCTGAAGAGGGCTTTGTACTAATAATGCCAGTGTTGCAGTGAGCTAACTTGGATTTTTCTGTCAGCCGAGGGGCTGGTGATAAGTCGGGCACAGGAAGATTGTGAGTTATTTGCACAGGAGGGCTATGTGTCCTGGATCATGAAGAAAGGCAGACTCATAGTTTATCTGCTTTCTCCTTTTGCTTTGCCCTGTTCCCACCAGCCTAACTCCTTTTCCCTAAATAGGACTCCACACCTAATACTGGTCAGAATTTAATTGTTAAATCCCAGGATGGCACACAAATTGGTATTCAGTTTTGATGGAGTCATTGGCTCCAGTTTCAGCTACACAGGATGACCCAGCAAAATTCAGCAGAAATTATCATCTAACAGTAGTTCATTCTTTTTTAGTGGAATCTCTTAAAAGATTTTCATCAGCTAGATGATATTTTCAATATTAGCCACTAGCAGAACTGTTCTGCTAGTAATTACAGTTCTGCTATGTGCATAGCTGAACTATGTTCTGCTAGTAAATACAGAGTCCAGTTTTTGAGTTTATGTATGTCTGAATCCAAAAGACCATAATCTTTTCTTAAGGCTACTTTAGGAAATAGCTGGTATAGGCAGTTCCACTTCAGGCTAGGATGTGAAAAGTTGTGGATGGCTTTTTCTCCCATGGTAACACCATGAAAAATCCAGACAACATACAACTTACATGTACCTGTGGGATTTTTGAAGACTGTTGGATGTAGATAAGCCTTTACAAAGTGATTACAAGAAAGAAAAGTCCTTCATAAGTGAGCAGTATGCTGTGGCAACTTCTGGGTGGAAACATTGGATCTTAATACAGGCAGGAGGAGGAGAAAGTGCCAAAACTCAAGAGACTTGACTGATTTCAACAGAAGCACTGGTGAAGGAATGGCAAGTAAAAGTCAATTTACCACTGCATGTTCTCACTCATACGTGGGAGGTGATCAATGAGAACACATGGACACAGGGAGGGGACCATCACACACACCAGGGCCTGTCATGAGATGGAGGGCTAGGGGAGGGATAGCATTAGGAGAACTATCTATTATAGATGACGAGTTGATGGGTGCAGCAAACCACCATGGCGCATATATATACCTATGTAACAAACCTGCACGTTCTGCACATGTACCCCAGAACTTAAAGTATAATAATTTAAAAAGTCAATTTACCCCAAGTTAAATAAATACACAAAAAATTATAAACTGATAAGAAGAAAGATGAATAAAAAGTCCTAAAGGTTGCCAGAGGGGGAAAAAAGATGTAGCACATACAGATGAGAATTATGACTGACTTAACACAGGAAACAATGCAAGGTAAAAAGATAATGGAATGACATATTTAAAACACTACAAAAAACACTTTTTGATCTATAATTTCAATATGTAAAAATATTCTTCAAACATAAAGGCAAAATGAAGACATTTTCAGAAAAATGAAAGCTGAGAGAATATTTCACCTACAGATCTTCACTATAAGAACTGCCTAAGGCAAGTTTTCAGTTGAAGAGCACTGGTATCAGTAGAAAGCTTGGATCTACAATAATAAGTGAGGAGTGCCATAAAAATAAAACAAGTAATAAATACACAACAATTTAAAAACTTACCTTAGTTTTCAAAAGACATTTGACTAAGACAAAATTAGCATAAATACATAATAAATATATCAAAAAGAGAGGAAGTGATAAATAGAAATATACATACTGTCACAAGTTCTTAATGCTATATGTGAAGAGATGTAATATTAATTCCATGTAAACTGTGATAAGTATGCACACAGCAACAACTAGAAATAAACCAAAGAGATACAGGCAAAAAGTCAAAAAAGGGCATAACACTGAATACTAGAAATTATTTGAATATGAAATAAACATTCCTACCTAAACTATCAAGAATTTAAAAATTGATACATGTATTAAAGAAAAAGTTATTTTTCTATTTTTTAAAATATTGCAAATTAATTGTCAAATGAAGAAGCAATCAATAATCAAGTAGTTGAAAATGTAGGGCAAAAGTATTATAGAAGTGTGTCAGCAAATTAATTTACGTTAAGTTCTTTTCCTAAATTTTCTAAAGACTAAGTCTTTGAGACCATTTGTCAGTCTTTAAAAAATTTTTTTAAAACTCTATTCAGGTAAAATGTAAATAAAATAAAAACAAACTCTTAAAAATGCATGTTTTAAATGTGCAGTTTGATGAGCTTTTACAGATATATATATATACTACCACAATTAAAATATAAAATGCATCTACCACCAAAAAAAAAAAAAAAAGAAAAAAACCTCCTCTTTTTCCTTTGGAGTCAGTCCCCACCCAACCTTGCAACTGTAGATCTACATCCTTTCTCAATAGGTTTGATTCTCCTTTTAAAAATTTGTTATAAATCAAAGAATGGTGTATTTACTCTTTTTTTCTGAATTCTTTCATTCAGCACAATGTTTTGAGATTCATAGACATTTTTACGCTTGTATGTACTTCATTTCATTTTATTGTTGAGTAGTATTCTATGATATGAACATACCACTTATTTATATCAATTCACCTATTTATGGATATTTGGGTTGTTTCCTGTTTGGGGATCTTGTGGATGAAGCTGCAAAGAACATTCATATACAAGTCATTTTGTGGACAAATGTTTTCACTATTTAAAGGTAAAATACCTAGGACTGAAATGTCTGGGTTGTATGGTAAATGTATGTTTTTGTATAAAAACTATCAAACTATTTCATTGTATATTTCTTTAAATTTGCATTTCCCTGGTGACATCTTTTCATATTGGTCATTCAAGTATCTTCTTTTGTGATGTGCCTCTTTAAATATTTTGCCCATCTTTCCTTGATTTATATCTCTTCTAACTTTTGAGTTGTGACAGTTTTTATATATTCTGCACATAAGTCCTTTGTCAGATATATATGTATTACTCATATTTTCTTTCAATTTTTGCTGTGTTTTTTTTAACATTTTCATAATGGTATATTTTGAAGAGAAGTTTTTTCTTCTGATGAACTTCCATGTGTTATTTCTTTCTTTTATTGTTTGTGCCTATTGCATCCTAAGAAGGCTTTGGTTACTCAAAGTGGCAAGGATGTTTTTCCTATGCTCTCTCCTAGATGTTTTATAGTTTTAGCTTTTGTGTTTAGCAGTATCATTGATTATGAATTAATTTTTAGTATGATGAGAAGTAAGGATTGAGGTTCTTCTTCCCCAGCCCCCAGTTGCATTGCAAGTTGTTCCAGAACTATTTCTTTATTCCATTCCACTGATCTATATGTCTATGCTTAAACCAGCTCCACTCTGTCTTTATTCTTGTAGATTTATAGAAAGTTTTGAAATTAGGTGCCCTAAGTCCTTTAACTTCGTTTTTCTTTTAAAAAATGGACTATTCTATATATTTTGCATTTTTAAATAATTTTAGGGCTCACCTCAATTTCTAGAAAAAATCCTGCTGGAATTTTGAATTGCGTTGAATCTACAGATAGATTTGATTTGGGCATTTTTTGATCTTACACACATTTTGATAGATTAATCCCTAAACACCTAATGATTTTCTTCCTAGTATAATGGCATTGGATTTTTAATTTCAATTTCCAATTTTTAATTCCTAGAAGAGAGAAATACAATTCATTGTTACACAGTGACTATTATCCTATGATCTTGCTGAGTTAACAAGTTAGTTCTACTGACTTTTGTTGTAGATTCCGAAGGATTTTCTACATACACGTATACCTCATTTGTGCTTTGCAGAGAGAGAGAGAGAGATATATATATATATATATATATTTTTTTTTACCTAAATGTTTGTGGCAACCCTGCATTAAACAAGTGCATCGATATCATTTTTCCAACAGCCTGTGCTCCCTTAGTGCCTCTGTGTCACATCTTGGTAATTCTTGCAATATTTCAAACTTTATTATTATTATACCTGTTATGATGATCTGTCATCAGTGATCTTTTTAAAGTTTTAACTTTAATTTTTGTGGGTACATAGTAGGTGTATATATTTATGGGGTACATGAGATATTTTGATACAGGCATGCAATGCATAATAATCACATCATATAAAATGAGATATCCATCCTCTCAAGCATTTATCCTTTGAATTACAAATCCAATTATACTCTTTTAGTTATTGTAACATGGACAATTAAATTATTATTCACTATTGTCACTCTGCTGTGCTATTAAATAGTAGGTCTTATTCATTCTAAGCATGTTTTTGGTGCCATTAACCATCCCCATTTCTCCCCCTCCCCACTACCCTTCCTAGCCCCAGATCATTGTACTGTCTATCTCCATGAGTTCAATTGCTTTAATTTTTAGCTCCCACAAATGAGTGTGAACGTGTAAGTTTATCTTCCGTGCTTAGTTTGTTTTACTTAACATAATGACCTCCAGTTCCATCCACGTTGTTGCAAATAACAGGAACTCATTCTTTTTTGGGCTGAATAGTAGTACTCTATTGTGTATATGTATCACATTTTCCTTATCCTTTCATCTGTTGATGGAACTTGGGTTGCTTCCAAATCTTAGCTAGTGTAAACAGCGCTGCAACAGACATAGGAGTGCAGAGATCTCTTCCATATACTGATTTCCTTTCTTTTCAGTATATACCCAGAAGTAGGATTGCTGGATCATATGGTAACTCAATTTTTAGTTTTTTGAGGAAGCTGCAAACTCTTCTTCATCGTGGTTGTACTAATTTACATTCCCACCAACAGTGTACAAGGATTTCCTCTTCTCCACATCTTCACCAGCATTTGTTACATAATGCTGTCTTTTGCATATAAGCCATTTTAACTGGGGTGAGATAACATGTCATTGTAGTTTTGATTTGCATTTCTCTGATGATCCATGATGTTGAGTACCTTTTCATATGCCTGTTTGCCATTTGTATGTCTTCTTTTGAAAAGTGTCTATTCAGATCTTTAGTTTTTTTTAACATCAGATTATTACATTTTTTTCCCTAGAGAGTTGTTTGAGCGCCTTACATATTCTAGGTATTAATCCCTTGTCAAATGGACAGTTTGCAAACATTTCCTCCCATTCTGTGTGTTGTCTCTTTATTTTGTTGATTGTTTCCTTTGCTGTACAGAAGCTTTTTAACTGGATATGATCCCATTTATCAATTTTTGCTTTTGTTGCCTGTGCTTATGGAACATTACTCAAAAAGTATTTTCCCAGATCAATGTCCTGGAGAGGTTTTCCCAGTGTTTTCTTGTAGCAGTTTCATAGTTTGAGGTCTTTGACTTAACTCTTTAATCCTTATTTATTTATTTATTTATTTATTTATTTATTTATTTATTTTTGAGACAGAGTCTTGCTCTGTCACCCAGGCTGGAGGGCAGTGGCGTGATATTGGCTAACTGCAGCCTCCGCCTCCCAGATTCAAGCCGATTCTCCTGCCTCAGCCTCCTGAGTAGCTGGGACTACAGGTGCCCACCACCACACCTGGCTAATTTTTTATATTTTTAGTAGAGACGGGGTTTCACTGTGTTAGCCAGGATGGCCTCGATTTCCTGACCTTGTGATCCACCCACCTCGGCCTCCCAAAGTGCTGGGATTATAGGCGTGAGTCACTGCACCCGGCCATCTTTAATCCATTTTGATTTGATTTTTTTAAGGTGAGAGGGACCTAGTTTCTTTCTTCTGCATATGGATATCCAGTTTTTCCTGCACCATTTGTTGAAGAGATATTCCTCTCCCCATTGTTTGTTCTTGGCATTTTTGTCAAAAATGAGTTCACTGTAAATGTTTGGTTTTATTTCTGGGTTCTCTTTTCTGTTCCATTGGTCTATGTGTCTGTTTATATGCCAGTATCATGTTGCTTTTGTTACCATAGCTCTGTATTATTATTTGAAGTCAGGTAACATGATTCTTCCAGTTTTGTTCCTTTTGCTCAGGATGGCTTTGGTTATTCTGGGTCTTTTGTGGTTCCTAAAGTTTAGAATTATTTTTCCTGTTTCTGTGAAGGATGTCATTGATATTTTGGTGGGGATTGCACTGAGACTGTAGATTGCTTTGGGTAGTATGAACATTTTAACAATATTGATTCTTCTAATCCATTAGCATGAAATATCTTTCCATTTTTTTTTGTGTCCTCTTCAATTTCTTGCATCTGGCTTTTATAGTTGTTATTGTAGAAGTCTTTCACTTATTTGCCTTAGTTAATTCCTTGGAATCTTATTTTATTTGCAGCTATTACAAATGTGATTGTTTTCTTGATTTCTTTTCCTAATTGTTCACTGTTGGCATATAGAAATGCTACTCATTTTTGTATGTTGATTTTGTATCCTGCAACTTTACTGATTTTTAATTAGTTCTAATAATTCTTTGGTGAATTCTTTAGGTTTTTCCAAATATAAGATCGAATCATCTGCAAACAAGGATAATTTGACTCCTTCCTTTCCAGTGTGGATACCCTTTATTTCTTTCTCTTGTCTGATTGCTCTAGCTAGGATTCCCAGTCCTACGTTGAATAACAGTGGCAGAAGTGGGCATCCTTGACTTATTCCAGGTCTTACTGGAAAAGCTTTTGGTTTCTCCCATTCAGCATGATAGTAGCTGTGGGTCTGTTGTATATGGCTTTTTGTGTTGAGGAATGTTCCTTATATACCCAGTTTTTTGAGGGTTTTCATCAAGAAAACATGTTGAATTTTATCAAATGACTGTTCAGTGTCAATTGAAATAATCATATGGTTTTTGTCCTTCATTCTGTTGATATTAATGATCACTTTGGTTGATTTGTGTATGTTGAACCATCCTTGCATCCCAGGGATAAATCCCACTTGGTCATGATGAATGACCTTTTTAATGTGTTCATGAATTTGGTTTGCTAGTTTTCTGTTGAGGATCTTTGCATCAAAGTTCTTCAGGGATATTGGGCTATGTTGTCTTTTTTTCTTATGTGTCTTTGGTTTTGGTATCAAGGTAATACTCAGCTCATAGAATGAGTTTGGAAGTATTTTCTCTTCCTCTAATTTTTGAGATGGTTTGAGTAGAATCGGTATTAGTTCTTCTTTAAATGTTTGGTAGAATTCAGAAGTGAAACCATTGGGTCCCAACTTTTCTCTGTGGGGAGACCTTTTATTATGGCTTCAATCTTGTTACTTGTTATTGGTCTTTCAGGTTTTGGATTTTTTTTTTTTTTTTTTTTGAGACAGAGTCTCACTCTGTCGCCCAGGCTGGAGTGCAGTGGCCGGATCTCAGCTCACTGCAAGCTCTGCCTCCCGGGTTCACGACATTCTCCTGCCTCAGCCTCCTGAGTAGCTGGGACTACAGGCGCCCGCCACCATGCCTGGCTAGTTTTTTGTATTTTTTAGTAGAGATGGGGTTTCACTGTGTTAGCCAGGATGGTCTCGATCTCCTGACCTCGTGATCCGCCCGTCTCGGCCTCCCAAAGTGCTGGGATTACAGGCTTGAGCCACCGCGCCTGGCCATCAGGTTTTGGATTTCTTCATAGTTCACTCTTGGTAGGTCGTATGTGTCTAGGAATTTATTTTTTCTGTTCCCAATTTTTGGCACGTAGTTGCTCATAGTAGTCTCTAATGATCCTTTGAATTTCTGTGGTAACACTTGTAACGTCTTCTTTTTCATCCCTGATTTTATTTATTTGTGTTTTCTCTCTTTTTTTTAGTCTGGCTAAAGGTTTGTCAATTTTGTTTATCTTTCCAAAGAACCAAATAAAATCTTATTTTATTTGCAGCTATTACAAATGTGATTGTTTTCTTGATTTCTTTTCCTAATTGTTTTTCATTGATCATTTGTATCATTATTTTGTTTCAATTTTATTTCTTCCCTGATTTTTATAATTTTTTTCTACTAATTTTGGCTTTGGTTTGCTCTTGATCTGATTTTTTTCTATGTTTGCTAAAGGGAAAATAGCAATTTATTGACTGAGCCCATAAAACTAAGGATATAAGAGTCACTTACATTGCATCGATGAAGTTATTATCTATCATTTGAATGAATCCAGATTAAATAATTAGGATCTTGAGATCGCTTAACTTCTGTCTCTTGCCTCTTCACACGTGAGGGCATTTGCTTTCTGAAAGTTTAAAGTCTGTGCAAGAAAAACCAAAACATTCTCTTCAGAATAATCTGAAGGTGCTCATAAATTCTTTTAAAGTGGGCTCTGGGAAGTCCTAGCCAGAACAATCGAGTAAGAGAAAGAAGTAAATAGAAACCAAATAGGAAAATAAGAAGTTTAACTATCTCTCTTTATTGATGTGGGAAAGAGAGTTTCTGGAGCGCCAGATGAGTTGGTCTCCCCTGTGTGAGACACCCTTGGGGAGCCATGGGCAGCCTCTGAGGAGAAAGCTCTCCTTATTGCCTTCATGTCTTTATGCCCCAAAAGCATAACCACTCCCCGGCATTCCGCAGGTTGCTCAGGGAAATAACACTCCCTTGAAGCACTGGAGTATAATCATACATCTTGGCTCCTCAAAACCCTCTCCCACCCATTTCAGTCCCGATAAGTTAAAGATCTTAAGTAGTTTAGAAACACGCCTTTGCTCAAGAAAATTCACAGAAACCGCCACTGCTCTACATCTTATTGAATGACTCACTAGTTCTCCTTCACTGATTAATCCTTTTCCTTATCCCTTCCTACCCCTCCCATTTGCCCTAAGAACAAAGAGCTTGTAAACAAATAAATTAGGCTGAACCGAAGAGCTCTGGGCCTTAAGCAAGCCTCCAACTCTCTGGTCCCCTGGACCCACCTTTTAAACTCTTTTTGTGTCTCTTTCTCCTTTGTCTCCACTGGACTCGGGTTACCCGCCGGGTGGTGTAGGGCTGGTTTCCTTAATGGTTGATGATATTATTCTATACCTAGAAAATCCTAAGGACTCTGTCAAAAGGCTCCTGGAACTGACAAATGAGTTCAGGAAAGTTTTGGGATACAAAATCAACATACAAAAATCAGTTGCAGTTCTATACACCAGTAATATTCAAGCTGAGAATCAAATGAAGAACACAATCCCACTTACAATAGCCACACACAAACAACACCTGTTAGGTTGGTGCAAAAGTAATTACGGTTTTTGCCATTTTTTAAAGTAATGGCAAAAGCTGCAATTACTTTTGCACCAAACTAATAGGAATGTATATGACAAAGAAGGTGAAAGATTGCTGCAGTGAGAACTACAGAATACTGCTAAAAATATCATAAATGACACAAACAAATGGCAAAACATTTTGTGCTGTGACAGATTGGAAGAATCAGTATCATTAAAGTGGCCATAGTGCCCAAAGCAATCTGTAGATTCAATGCTCTTCCGAGTCAACTACCAATGACATTTTTCACAGAACTAGAAAAAAGCTATTCTAAAATTTATATGGAACCATAAAAGAGCCTAAATAACCAAAGCAATCCTAAGCAAAAAGAGCAAAGCTGGAGGGATCACATTACCTGACTTCAAACTATATTATAAGGCTACAGTAACCAAAACAAAAGCACATAGACAACTGGAACAGAATAGAGAATGCAGAAATAAAACCACACACCTACAGCCATCTTTTCTTTGACAAAGCTGACAGAAGTAAGCAATGGGGAAAGGACTCCCTCTTCAATAAATGGTGCTGGGATAGCTGGCTAGCCATATGCAGAAGACTGAAACTGAACCCCTACCTTTCACTATACACAAAAATTAACTCATGATGGATTAAAGATTTAAATGTAAGACTTCAAACTATAAGAATCTTAGAAGAAAACTTAGGAAACACCATTCTGGACATTGGCCTTGGCAGAGAGCAGACAACCTACAGAATGGGAGAAAATATTCACAAACTATGCATCTGACAAAGGTATAATGTCCAGAATCTGCAAGGAACATAGACAAATTAACAAGTAAAAACAAATAACCCCATTAAAAAGTAGACAAGAAACATGAACGTGAACAGGGACTTCTCAAAAGAAGACCTATAAGTGGCTAACAAACATAAAAAAATGCTCAACATCATCAGAGACATTCAAATAAAAACACTATGATATAGTATATCCCACCAATCAGTATAGCTATTATTAAAAAGGCAAAAAACAACACATGCCGGTGAGGCTATGGAGAAAAGGAAATGCTGATATACTGTTGATTGGAATGTAAATTAGTTCAGCCACTGTGGAAAGCAGTTTGGAGATTGCTCAAAGAACTTAAAACAGAACTACCATTCAACTCAGCAATCCCATTACTGGGTATATATCCAAAGGAAAATAAATAATTCTACGAAAAAGACACATGCGCTCATATATTCAGCACAGCACTATCCACAATAGCAAATACATGGAATCAACCTAGGTGCCCATCAGTGGTGGACTGGATAAAGAAAACATGGTACATACACACCATAGAATACCACACAGCCATAAAAAGAATAAAATTATGTCCTTTCCAGCAACACGGATGCAGCTGGATGCCATTATCCTAAGTGAATTAATGTAGGAACAGAAAACCAAATACTGCATGTTCTCACTTATAAGTGAGAGCTAAACATTGGGTACTCACGGACATAAAGTCGGGAACAATAGACACTGAGGACTACTAGAAGGGGTAGAGAGACAGGAGGGCAAGTATAGAAAAACTACCTATTGGGTACTATGCTCACTATCCACACCCCAAACCTCAGCATCATGCAGTATACCTGTGTAAGAAACCTGTACATGTATTTTCTGAACCTAAAATGAAAGTTGAAATTAATTTTAAAAACAGAGTGGGATTGAGTAATTTTTATTTACTTCCATCTCTCATAGAACTTGTATACATTTTGTCTATTACATCATAAATAAGTTCCCATTACTTGAAGCAACATGATCATTTCCCAGTTCGTGATATCTGAAAGAACCTACTTACATCTAAAATTAGCATCCAGAATAAAATTACTAATTTCAGACTCCTTCCTCTGACAAGGAACTTCATGCACTTTATATACTTCTGCTCTCCTTTCTTTGCCCCAGCCATTCCCTTAACCACCATTGTTCATTTAACATGAGGCTACAGGCCTGTCTTGCTGGTGGAAAGAACTGAACTAGTCATCAGTTGTATTGGGAAGACAGCTTGGGTTTAGATAGAAATTATGTGGACCTGATGCCATTTGCCTAGAACCTACATTGAAGCCCAGGTAACTTTAGAAAAAACATAACGATTTAATGTGGAGAATTTTGGAATGAGAAAAAATACATCTAAAATACAGATCAGGAAAGAGCTGAATGTCCTTTAGCCTATTAAGGCAGGGAGATTATTCGGCAAATAGTAAAATAAAATGAGCCTTCCACAAACCAGGGCATTTTTCATGCAGTCTGAACCAGCTGGACTTCACGAGGAAAAAAAAAAAATCTCTTGCAGTGGCAAATTCTTGCCTTTGGGTATTTTCAGGACTAGCTACTTACTGCTGGAGAAGATGGAACTGTGGCTGAGGCATCCTGTACTCATCCTTTCTCTGCCCTTTCTTAGAGGACTAATCTTCCCAAGATGAAAGACATCTTTATCCATCCCTCTGCTTCTTCTCATGTTGCACAGTGGTATCCAAATCTCAGTAGACACAGAAAGAGAAGATATGTGATAATAGGAGTAGGGTGTGGCACAAAACTGGTTCTTGTTGATCAGAACAATTTCCATGCTGTGCGATGGTGGTACAGTGCAGTGCTTGGCTTCAGGAATCACGAAACGGGGAGCATATCTAACACTATTGGTGTGAACTCAGGCATCATCTGTTACCTGGTGTGGATTCCAAAATATTTACTATTTTGGTCCTTGGTCAGGGAGGACCAACAGCTTTCTCAGATGTTTACAGGCAGAAAGAGTGTTGCCAGGGGAAACTGGTAAATGTTTAATGACAAGGTCTTTGAACAAAGAAAAAGCCTTGATATATAGCATTTGCCAACTTCTCCCAGTATGACTGATTTCAAGCTACCAAGGTGATGTCCCTGAACTTGGGCTTGGGAAAAGATACGCTTACCCTGCTGAGGTGATGGGTGCACCAAAATCTCAGAAATTACCACTAAAGAACTTATTCATGTAACACAAAAACCACCTGTTCCCCAAAAACTGTTGAAATAAAAAAAACTAAAGAGGATCCATTTTACCAAATATCATATAACATTTCTACCATACAAAGACAACAAATACAATCTAAAGACCGCAGAGATAATAGTAAATTTTCGTAAAATTAGAAAGTGATGAGTTTTGAGAATTTATTACCTTTGCTTTGAATATTGGAAATGTAGAGGTAAATATCTTGTTACTTGCAAATAATCTGATTATCCACATGGAATAATTAAGAGGTTTCTTTGGCAGTTTTTCCTCCCTTGTGGCTTTTCCACATGGCCTTTTTACGTTCAGCTGCTCTGGTTCAGAAGGGTTTGTATGCAGTGGCTTGGCTTCAGATTTTGTTGTTTTGTTCAACTATTTGGTTCTGACTCGCTTTGTGACATTAATTGCCTGAGATATTTTTAAAGACTGACGTTCTGATAGTGAAACATTTACCAAACAAGATTTTGTGTCCAAGTATCATTTTGAGGAGATTAAATGTCACTCTTTCCTGCTGTTTTCCATAGCCCCAACCTATATTTTTCTGTTGATTTATTCGCTGAGTTAGTTTGTTTACTAAGATATCTTTAAGATACATGAAGCTTTCAATTTTCAATAAGTGACAAATATAAATGTGAGGCATATTCAACTTTCTGCTTATTATATAAAGGAAGCAGCTTATAACTAGCCATGTAACTTTGAATCTGTCCATTATTTCATTTTATGCAAAATAATTTTAGTGTAATATTCTATACATCATGGTTATAGTTTCTTGTTTTATAAAAGATATGAGAAACAACATAAATGTTTCATTGAATAATTCATGGTTATGATTTATTGGATAAAGAGACACAGTAAAGGGCAAAGAAGTTTCTTATAGAAAAACTGAGCCTGGTTTTCTCTTATCTTTTCATCTATATTTCCTACCTTATTCAGAAATAATATAAAACTAAGATTTTAAAATAAGTTCTATGCTTTTCCAAACCACTGCTTGTCCAGTGCCACTGCATCCATCCATCCATCCATCCATCCATTCATCCATCCATCCGCTTAATAAATCGTACCTAATATGTACCAGGCCCCTATCTCCTGCAGTGAAAAGCTGACATAGCCAAGGGGTAGACACAGAGCTTGATAGAATCACAGATCCCCAGAGACAGAAATTTTCTGCTGAGATAGACTTGTTACATCTGTTATACTCCTTTTCCCTGACTGGGCAACCTGGGTCCCTGAAACAAGGATAAGGACATCCGGGTAGATATTCCTGCAGAATCTGGCTCTGTGGTGTACCATGAAGCCTGAAAGCTGCAGGGGCTACATCCATGACCCTATTGAGAGCTGGTACTTCCCCATGCATGGAGATGCTATGGGCTGGTACTTCCTCATGCATGGAGATGCTATGGGGGTCCCTCCCAGCATGGGAGCAAGTATTCAGAGGTGTGCCAGAATAATTTCTTCAAAGTAAAAGTAACCTTGCTGCATTCTGCATCACTACTACAAAGAAGTAGGCAGATTGGCTGATAGCCTTTTGGATTCTGAGGCAACAGATTTCACACCAAGAAAAAATTCTCCAGCACATGTGATGAGTGACATGGAAAGCTACTGGCTTTGAGTGGGAGTAGAGCAGCAGGTCCAGACTGCTATGCAAGCAACCCTACCACTGAAGAGTTGGAGGTATTGGTGGTGGGAAAAGATTCATTGTAAAGTTTACACAAAACTCCAGAGGGAGAATCGCAGCACTGGCCCTGGGGTTCTGGAGCAAGACTCTGCCATCTGCAGCAGAGACTTATACACTTTCTGGGAAACAGCTCCTGGCATGTTACTGGGCTCCTGTAGAAAAGCAACAGTTGAGCA